AAAGTAAATTTCAAACCAAAACTAAGTATGAGAGACAAAGAAGTTTATTATATCCTTGTAAATCCTTGAATAATCCAAGAGGAAGCAATGAAAATCATAAATATATATTCTACAAACACTAATGCCCCCAACTATACAAAACAAATATTAAGTAACATGAAAAATCAAACAAGCATTAATACAATTGTAATGGGGGACATCAATACCACATTGTCACAAATAGACAGATCATCTAGACTAAAAATTAACAACAAAATACTAGAAGTGAACCAAGCTTTTGAACAAATGGACTTAATAGAGTTCTACAGATTGTTCCACCACACAAAATCAGAATATGCATTCTTTTCAGCTGTACTAGGGTCATTCTCCAAAGTAGACTACATACTAGCTCACACAACATGTTTAAGTAAATACAAAGAAGAAATTGAAGTTATCCCATGTATATCATCAACAATAGAGTAACTAAACTGGAGATCAATAACATAAGAAATGCCAAGAACTTCAAAAACACATGGAAATTGAATAACACTCTCCTGAACAACCAATGGGTCACATTAGAAATTAAAGTAGAAATTAGACAGTTTTTACAATTTAATGATAGTGTCACTACAGCATACATGAATCTATAGGATACAATGAAAGCAGTTTTACCTGGCAAATTCAAAGCAGTGAATAATCACACTAGGAAAACAGAGCGAGCTCAAATAAACAACCTAATGATGAATCTCAGCTTTCTAGAAAAAGAAGAGCAAGACAAACCTAAAGCTCATATAAGGGAGGAAATTATAAAGATCAGAGCAGAAATCAATGCAATTGAAATGAAGAGAATGATACCAAAAATCAATGAATTGAAGAGTTGATTTTTCAAAAGAATAAATAAAATCAATAAACCCTTAGCCAAACTTGTCAAATAAAGAAAAGGGTCAGATCCATGCAATTAGGAATAAAAAAAAAAAAGGTGAAGTCACAACAGAGCCAGTAGAAATTCAGCAGATCATCAATACCTACTTTGAGAACCTGCGCTATAATAAAATGGAAAGTACAGAACAAATGGATGGATTCCTAGATACATATGAATCACCAAATTTGAATGAAGGAGGTATACAAATTCATAACACCCCAGTTATAGTCAGTGAATTTGAAAAAAAAATTAAAAATTTACCAACAAAGAAAAGCTCAGGTCCTGATGGATTCACTGCTGAATTCTACAAGACCTTTAAAGAAGAACTGTTGCCACTACTCTTTAAATTTTGCAATGAAATTGAAAGGGAAGCAATGTTTCTACATTCATTCCTGGAAGCGAGTGTTACTTTGACTCCAAAATCAGGGAAGAGACAACCAAAGAAGAGAACTACAGACCAATCGCTTTAATGAACATAGATGCAAAAATCCTCAGTAAGATACTGGCAAACAGAATACAGAGAGTCATCAAGAAGATCACACACCCTGATCTAGTCAGATTTATCCCAGAGTTGCAAAGATGGTTCAACATACGTAAGTCAATAAATGTGATACACTATTTTAACAGAGTCAAGGTAAAAAATCATATTATCATCTCCATAGATGCAGAAAAAGCATTTGGCAAAATTTATCACAGATTCATAATTATAACCAGGCAGAAAATTGAAATAGATGGTCTTTATCTTAACTTGATCAAGGCTATCTATGAAAAACCAATAGTCAACATCATACTAAATGGTCAAATCTGAAAACCTTCTTGCTAAAATCGGGAATAGGACAAGGATGGCCACTATCACCACTCCTGTTCAATATAGTTTTGGAAACATTAGCCACAGCAATTAGACCAGAGAAACAAATAAAGGCAATAAAGCCTGGAAAGGAAAAATTTAAACTATCATTATTGCTGATGATATGATACTCTACATAGAAGACCCAGAAAACTCCACCAAAAAGACTTCTAGACTTCTGGTTAGGGGATTTAGCTTTGTGTTACTGCCACCTGCCTCATAAGTGGGAAGTCCCAAGTTTACTGCCAAGTAAAAAGACTTTTAAACTTTTGATACATTCAGTAAAGTAGCTGGATACAAGGTGAACACTCAAAAGTCAATAGCGTTCTTTTACACAAATAATAAACTCACTGAGAGTGAAATTAGGGAAATAATCCCTTTCACAATAGGATAGTATCAAAAAAATGAAATATCTAGGAATCAATCTACCAAAGAAAGCATAAGACCCCACAATTGAGAATTACAACACTCTGAAAAAAGAGATAGAAGAGGATATAAAAAAAATGGAAAGACATCCCTTGTTCCTGTATAGGAAGAAACAATATGCCAGTAAAATGCCATACTTTCAAAACCGCTATACAGATTCAACATAATCCCTACTGAAATCCTAACAGTATATTCCACAGAACTAGAGAAAACAAATCCAAAAATTCATTTGGAACCAGAAGAGACCTAAAATAGCAAAAGAATTTCTAAGCAATAGAGACATGGCAGTGGGTATCACAATCCCCAACTTGAAAATACTCCAAAACCACTCTGGTAAAAACAGCATGATACTGGCAAAAAACAGACCTGAGGATCAATGGAACAGATTAGAAGACGCAGAAAGAACTCCTGAAGTACTCAACTACCTCATCTTTGACAAAGGAGCCAACCATCCCCAGTGGAGGAAAGAGAGCCTCTTTAATAAATGGTGTTGAAAAAACTGGATTTCAACTTGTCAAAGATTAAAACTAGACACGTATCTTTCACCAAAACTAAACTAAAATCCAAGCAGATTAAAGATCTAAATATTAAAAAAGAAACACTAAACTTGCTGGAAGTTAAGCTAGGTAGAACTCTTGAAGATATTGGCATAGGAAATGACTTTCTGAATATATAGCACAGGAGCTAGCACAAAGAATCAACGATTGGGATCTCATCGTTTTAAAAAGTTTCTGCACTGCAAGAGAAATAACAAGCAGAGCTAAGAGACAACCCACAATGTGAGGGGAAAAATTTTTACCAGCTGTTCCTCAGACAAAGATCTACTATCTAGATGAAGAACTAAAAAAATCAGACCCACCCTAAATATAAAGACCCAATTAAAATGGGCATCTGAAATGAACAGACATTTCTCAGACAAAGAAGCAAAAGCAGCAAAGAAACATGATAAAATGTTCAAAGTCACTGGTCATTCAAGTGATGCAGATGAAAACAACACTGAGCTTCCACCTCACCTTAGAAAGAATGGCTGCTATTAAGAAACCAACCAATAACAATGCTGGCAGGGTTGTGGGGAAATAGGAACCCTGCTTCATTTTTAGTGGGAATATAGACTGGTTCAATCACTGTGCGAATCAATATGGAGATACCTCAAACAACTAGGATTAGAAGACCCATTTGACCCAGTTATTCCTCCACTGAGTATCTCCCCAAAATAATTAAAAAAACTATACCACAGCTAAACATACTTACCCATGTTTATAGTGGCACAGTTCATAACAGCTAAAATTTCGAAGCTGCCCAATTGCCCATCAACTGGAGGCTGGATAAAGAAGATTTTTTTAAATACAATGGAGTACTACTCAGGCATAAAGAACTACTAGAGATATTTATAGCCAAGTGGATGCACATTGAGGCCATACTCTTCAGTGAAATTGATAAGCCACACCTGGGCAAATACCAAATAGTTTCTCTGGTTTGAAAAAGTAAAAGTGTAAATAAGCAGAAAAATGTATAATTGATATTGTGTCATAGGAGGGAAGGTCTGAAAGAGTAGAGGAAGTGGGGGTAGGGGAAAGGTAAAAAGCAAAAAGAAAAATATGTGAAAAGTAAAATCATGGAAATAATGTCTTTGTAAACAGGAAAGGGTGGAGGGGGTGAAGGGAGGGCTGGAGAATAGGGAAAAATAAGAACCAAGATCTGTCATGTAAAGATACAAGATCTCAGTGATGAATGTAACTGCACTTAATACTTAAAATATATGAATAAACTTAATACAGATTTTTAAAATTTTGTTAAAATTCACAGCACCATGCTGCTATAACTCTGTGTTAGTTGAAAATCCATTACATTCATTTAATATTAGCCTTTATTTTCAGTGTTGCATACATTTTTTCATGAGGAATTAGGATTTACTTAGTTTTTCCATTCTGCCATCAGCACTCAAAGATAATATTTCACTGGGAAACCATTCTTTAGTTTTGTGTATGGTTATTGTTAGTACACAGCCATGTTCTATATCAAATACCATTGCTAAGAACTCTATTTAATTTAAACTGTGTTCACTTTTAAAAAGTAATTTCTGTAGTGATAAGACTAAGTTATAAAAAAAAAGGGGACCCAGAGGCTAGACAGGATGTTTAGTATCCTTTGACACGGCTCAGTGTCTCAGTTTTCATACATTTTTCTTGGGAAAGCCACTTAACTTTATTTATCTTTCCCCTTTTCAGCTCAGTTATATAGTTACATTTACAGCCATTTTCTCTATCAAATATCATTAATATGAACTCTATTTCAATTAAAATGAATTTCCCTACTGGAAAGAAAAATATCTGAAACAATCATATGTGTGAATGTCCTCATTGAGGGATAAAAGTCTCTGAAGATATGATATATGAGATATGTGACATATTTTAATTTCCTTCTAAAGTTCCTATTTTCTGTGCAACAGCTGTGTTGGACATTAATTAACTACATGAAATTAAATAACTACATGAAACAGAAAAAAACAAAACTGAAGAGAGTTAAAATTGTTGGATGTATTCAGTAACTGTGTCTTCTTCATAAAGGAAAATAGAAAGCTGAAATTAATGCTACAGAAAAAGTTTATTTAACATGCACGAGTGAAAAGGGAATATTGACAGAAACATTTTAGAATGATGGTCACAGAAGTGATTTTAAGCACTAGTATAAGAATTAAATTATAGATATCGGACAAACGAAATGATAAAGTTCCATTAGCTGCAGAGGTGAGCAAGACAAGGTGGGGAATATTTAGTAAGTTGATCCAAAAAAGTGAGAGCCAAAGGCTGATGTTTGGAAACGTGTTCACTGGAAACTTCTGGTGGAAAAATAAGATGGGCGGTAGAAGCTGGATCCCAAATACTGGACGGCAGTGTTTCTGTGAGCACACGATCCAAAGCCATTGTTGAAATTACCAAAAGATCCAAAGCCAGTGCTGCCATATCCAAGAGATCCAGTGTAATTTGTCTGGCAAGGACTGGAGATGAAATTATTTGGGCGGAAGCAGGATGTTTGGAAGGATCTTGTCCCAGTACAGGATGTCTGGTTGCTAATGGGCTTGAAAAAGCTCTCCTGTTGTCCACCGCAGATGGAACAGACCAGCTGGTAGGCCTTCAGAGGAATGATTACATTTGTGGGGTAGACAGAATTGCAGGCAGAAACTGTGGGCCTCCAGAAGCCTCCAAATGATTGGGAGGAGAAATTTCCAGAGCCAAAGTTGTAAGACATGTTGTCAGGACTTCTAAATTCAGCTGGGGTGCAGTTCGTGAGTATGACTGATACCTCCCCTGTTTGGTACTTATATACCCTAGAAATGGGTGTAATCGCTTGTAGTCATCTTAATTAGGCTTCAGCAAAGAACTCTTCAAAGAACTCTTACGAATGCAGACTTTTAAATGAAAGAATTTCATTAGTTTTTCAAAGGAATTGTTCACGGAAAAAGAAAAAATTGCCTATCGCAATAACCAACCGTGGGTAGAATGGAAACTACCATAATTGCATCTATATGATTGAAGCTTTATGCATTCTGTTCTGAGGATATTAGATCAAATGGACAACACTTTGAGAATTCTTTTCTGTTTAAAATTCTAACATGTACCTTGAAGGAGACAATTACATTACTGTAAGTTTAGGAACCCACCTGAACACACACAAAATAAATTCTCATTAAATTTTCCTTCTCTCAAATCTTGTACATTTTGTGAAAGGAGCCACACCGTAATTGACAGAAATGCTAAATGAGTGGCTAATAAGTTTGATTTCCTTTCCTTATAACACAAATAATTGAATTATTTTTGTGTATATTTTTAAGAATGGAATGATTGAAAGGTTGACATGTGAGTGCTTTGAAGATAACATTGTAAATCTTTACTTTGAATTCCACTTGTTTTCTTCTTTTTGTGTTTCCATGATGGGGAATCCAGTATCTTGTGCAGGCTCAGTAAGTGCTCTGACACAGAGTTTCATAGCCTGCTCCTAATTTCTTGATGAAAGTCATCATTAGGTGCAGCAAACGTACTGATAAAAATAAAACATTTAAATAAAATAAAGTATAACAACATCCTCCAAATTGGATCCTTAAAAAATATCAGCAATAAGTTCAGTAAACTTGATTACAAAATATTCTCCATAAACTTTCAGTAGTATTTGGTGGAGGATAAAACAATATGCATTTACAGAAAACATGGAAGAATAGGATCTGAAGAATCCACAGATACAGATGGGATAAATTAAAATGTGAGTGAGAAAGGGTACTAAAACAGATGGTAATGTGAAATAGAGAATGAATGCGTTTGAGATATCTGATGTGGTACATTTGTCAAGTGACGTACACATTCTTCATAAAGAGCTAAGTGGTATTTTGGGGACTCCGCTCTAAAGTTTTTCTTAGCAAACGTAAGTAGAGGTAGTGCTTGACTCTAAGAAATGACTTAAAAACACTTCAGAATTGTCAAAATTCTTAAGCTGTCCATCTCCAAATCTAATGAATGGTATAATGAAAATGAGTCAAGACTCTTGCTATGAAAAATTAAGATGATTAAGTAGAAGCTTGAAGAAAAAAAATTAAAATTACCTGCATTGGTAGATAATAAGATTTCCATCCAGGGTATGGGGAATTTTTGATGAGGAAGATGTAAATGAGACTCCAGTCAGATTCACAACTAGAGATCTTGACCAAACTCTCTTTCAAATTGTTGAATTTATGAACCTGAACATTTTAAGTTGAGGCACTGTTTTCCAGTCATGTTTCATTTGTTGGGTAACACAGTTCATCCTCTATTTCTAAAATAAACAATTCTTGTTTATTAGGGCTTTTCATTATAAATAGCAAGAAGCATTCTAGCAGTTTTCAAATCTTCCTCTTCTGTTTGTCAATAAAATATTGAACATCAACCTCCACATGAATATTTAACTCTGCTAAATTGAATTTTCTCCCTTGTTTCAATGTCATCTCTTTTATGTAAAACATCTTGCTGGCAAAATCTTCTATGAGCTCAGATATTATGTAACTATGAGCACTCTTTTCTCAAAAAAGAAAAGCACGTTTGTTCAGAGTAGAAAGAGGAAGCTTTTCTAGGACCCAAACAAATCAAACAGCGCAGAGGCCACAGCAAGATAAACCTTGGTCTCTATTTTCCCTGCAGGCATCTTCATTACCTTATTACACAGAGGTGAAGCACAGGACTTGGAATAATGAAAAAATATGATCCTCATTTTAGAAAATTTGTAACACTTGTCAGAAGCATCTGAAAGCAACTTAAGTCAAAGTAATGTATGTTGGTTTCTGAAGCAGAGGAAGCCTCCTTAAAATGGCTCCTTTGGATCAACATTTCAAGACATTCACTCTACACACTTTTTAGAACAAGGATATCTTCCAAATGCTGGGGAATTCTTCTAGTAGGAAACACTAGAGACAGGAATGAATTGTGGACTTCTGCCATGTGTTTTCTTCTCTCTATTTGTTTAGGGCTTATTCGATATGTTAGATGAATAATCTCCAACATTCCAAAGTGTCATAAAACAATTGATAGTATTTAGCTCACAGTGCAGGAAAGACGCAAAGCAAAGATAAGATTGGCTCTTAAAAATCCACATACAGTTTCAAATATCGGCACAGAAAATAAGAGAAGCTCTCAATTAATTTTTCATGAAAGTGATTTATATTGCTGACCGGTTAGAATAGAAACCTGTATATAACTTGCATACCAGGGCTGCTGCTTTCCGGGATGCTATTCACTTACTAAGTTTGCCACTTCGCAACCAAAATCAGTGTATTTTTGTTCATTTGTTTGTTTAAAAGAAGAAACTATGAATAGATCAGTTAACAACTTTACTAGCCAGATGGCAACAGTTTTGAGGCAGATTGTGAAACGGGTATCAATTATTTTTAATTAGGCAGCTTCCCTCAGCGCAGGCACTGCCTATACTCACAGCAGTTCTCTGAGTGATCTAAAGGTGGCCTCTGCTAAGGGAAGATGAATAATGGCTTTGAAGATTCAACAATATTACTTGAATTCCACGGTCACAAACATTACTGTTCTTTCCTGTTGTAAAACCACAAAAACTACATACGGATGACTATGACAATCTTTTCAATTCAATTAAAAGCAGCAAGTAACTCATTTTCATAGGTCACAGGGGTGACGCACACAAGGGAATGGGGATATAAATATTCCAGTCCAAGGAGAGACATCAAACTCATTCAGAACACCGACCTCTAAAGTCTCTTCTGTCAACATGACCTACGGCTGCTCCTCTGGAAACTTCTCCTCCCGCTCCTCTGGGGGCTGCCTGCAGTACCCAGGCTCCTCCTGTGGCTCTTCCCACCCCAGCAACCCGGTCTACACCACTCATCTGCAAGTTCCCATCACCTACCAACTGGACTGTCCTCTGTACAGCGGGTGTCAGGAGACCTCTGAGCCCGCCAGCTGCCAGAGGTCCTGTGTGGTGTCCGGCCCCTTCCAGACACCCTGCTACCGCCCGAAGATCTCCACCCTGGGCAATACCTGCCAAACAACTTTCTCAGGATCTCTGGGCTTTGGGCCCAAGGGCTTCCAGTCTTTTGGCTGTGGCTCCCCATCGTTGGGCTTTGGATCTACTGGTTTCCAGTCAGTGGTCTATGAACCCCGCACTTTCTCATCCCTAAATTGTGGATCCAACTTTTACCGCCCAACCTACTTCCCTTCTAGAAGTTTCTAGTCTACTTCTTTCCAACCTACTTGTGGATCTGGCTTCTACTAACCACACATTTCAGGAATCAGAAGTTTAAACATAATGTCTACTATCTTAAGATTAATGCTATCTTTCCATCTCTTATCTTGTCATTACATAGAAATTAATTGTTCTTCTACTTTTACCTTCATGGAGTAGGAATGATTGGAATTCCAGTAATTGAAAAAGATACTCATTGGAAACACACAAAAAAATGCTCTTTTATCCTTATATAACTAGGCAATAACTGAAGCATACTTTAAAAATGTATCTCCTAATTATTTCCACTAGTGCATTTGTATTAAGTTTTACAGTGAAATATATTATAAACTTAAATAAAACTATTACCTTACCTTTACATGTCCTGTGACTTTATTATACTTTTTTTTTTCCTTCAGAACTATTTCTAAATATCTGGCTGAGATTTTATGTATCTTGTGATTATTATTAAAAATTTAACCTAAGAAGAGTGAAAACATCTTTTTTGATTTGAAAGAAATGCTTTCATCTTTTATGTTAATTCCATGAATACCTTCACATAAAATGAAGAGCACACATTTTTAAGATAACAAATAAACTTAAAACAGAGGTACCTGTTATACAGTTGTAAGCATTACACAAAATATAAAATGGTTATAATTTATAAGAAATATTAAATAGGCTACATGACTATTTTTGAGTGAAGATTCCTCTCTTGAAATATATTAAAAATTGGAGTGTGAATACCCAGTAAGAAGTTAGGTATTAGTAGGTTTAATATGGCAAAGAATCCAGTTCCCCTAGCTTTACTGTCAGATAAAAATTTAAGTTTCCACATGAAATCTCTAACACATATAATTGTTTCTATAAATTTCAATATAATTGTTCTGCAAATTTGATGAAGTCTAATTTTTCTCTTGTTTTTCTCATTGTTTGGATACTAGCACTAGTTTGAAAGAAAAAAGAAAACTTTTCAAGTTTAATGTAAGTACTCTTCTTGTTGTAACATTCCAGGCCGTGAATAATACATGAGTATTTAGTCATGGCACAAATATTTTACAACAGGGATAACACTGTTAAAGGCTGAGATGATTTACATTTCTACTCACAGGATCACTGTAGGTCTTGATGTATTCTTTTTTGTTTCAACACCCTGTTCCATCTGGCGATAGACTAGGAATTTTACTCTTTAGTTGTAATCAGTAATCGACTGTAAATGATGACTGATTTAAGGGACTTCCACTTCACTTGTACCATGGATTCATCTAGTGGAACGGAAGATGCTTGTACAGTGAAAATATTTTAGTTTAAACCAACCTAAAGAAGAGAAACATCCCTGCTTTTATCGCTTTCCCTGTAAATACAGAACTGTCACTTTTCTTTCAAAGGCAGCATGCCGAGAGCTCACAGGTAAAACAAATTACACTCAAATACAAGGCATAAAAGAACCAGCACTTTAAACAAATGACAGTTGTGGAGGCCCATTTTCTCTAACACAGTCAACAGTGCTGTGGCCAGTTCCACCCGCAGCAAGACATGGCCCTGTTCACCAAACTACCAGTAGGTGGAGGTAGTGGGAAATCGGAGTTACTGGATAGGTGTACAAGGAATTCCGGGCATGAACGTGCCAGTTGTCTCAGAGAATAATACAAAGAATTTTCTAATTGCTTTTTCTACCGTGGTTTGGGCCTATATTGTATTGTTCTAAAAATCAATTGTTTATTTTTTCGTTTGGTAGCAATAATTTTCCTCTTTTGTAAAAAGCGATATTAACTGTGTTAAATGTGTGACTCACTACTGTATTATTCAAATAAATCTCCGTGGTCTTCCAATTAATATGAATAAACTATAATAGTACATAAGATCCTAATGAGATAATTGACAATGTGAAAAAGGAAGAAAAGGGCTAAAGGTGTAAGGGGAAAGAAAATGAGGGAAAAGAAAAAAATAAGAGAAAGTGAAAAAATGGAAATAAAGTGTTTGCAAATGGGGAGGGGAGGAGGGGTTGAAGGAAGGGCAGGGACAAGGGGAAAAAATGAGAACCAAGACCTGTCATGTAAAGGTACAAGATCCCAATGATAAACGTAACTGTACTGTATACCTAGAATGTACCAATAAACTCCACGAGGAAAAAAATATGAAAAGTGTCATTTTAAAAATGTAAAATAAAAAATTACATGTATGCTAAATTATGTTAGCAATCAATGTTCTTCCTTCCCTTGTCAATCAGGGCTTTCATTTCCATTGCTTTATTATCTTTAAGCCCTTGCTTTGACGCTTTTTAAGTCATTGTTCGTGTTGTATGATAAAGCAAAACATTTTTACAGAGCTTTCTTCTTTCACTTGCTTGAATTGTATATTCTTCGGTGATAGATCCTTTTCTCACACCCTATTCTATTTGTGCACCCATCACTTAAAGATTATTTCATGATTCTCCCTGGCTGGCCACGCTCTCCTTCAGTCTGATTCACCAAAATGGGATCTGGTTGATAGTATTAGTGAGATGACACTAAAGTTTGACAGTTTCACTGTTCTTGTTCATGTTTTTCATATTATTTTTTAAAGGGCACAATAACTACCATTTTTGGTAGTAAATCCTGATAAGCTAACCACTACTAATAATCCTAATTTAAATGAATAACATAAAATTTTCACAGCACACGGTTTCTCCATCATTTGGTATAATGGTTAATACAAATGACTGTAAAATAAATTTTGTTACCTTCTTTGGATCTCTTCCCTTAAGTCTAAATTTGTTTTTATTTTTACAATTTGTTATGCATACTACTCATGAAAAATAGCTAATGGAATTCATATAATAATAATAATAATAATAATAATAATAATAATAATAATAATATCTAGAAAACGCAGAAGACCGGAAATAAAGACCACTGTATATTAAAGATAGATAAATAAAAATTTCAGGAAAGAGAAATAAGACAAGTTTCACCTCTGAAATCAAATTCTGCTATGGTTTATAAACAATAAAAGTTTTGGAAATTTTCTAATTGTTTTTAAGCCTGTTTTTCATTATTTCTGTAAATTTCTATAGTTTATAATCTTTGTTGGTTACACAGGGATGTTGAATGTTGGCTGAAAATTGAATATCGTGCATTCTGTTGGTGGCGATCCAAGGAAAGGCTATGAAAACTTTATGTTACAACCAGCAGTGGTTGCAACCAGCCTTCCCCAAGTATTCCCCAGCACTTTTTTGACTATGTGCCTGGGTGTATCAGGGATCACACTCCATAAAAGGAGGATCCCACCCCATTCTTCCCTTGCAGAGTCTTGAGGTTGCAGAAAAAGATGTTAAAACAATGAAAGATAGAAGCTAATGAAGAAATGCTTGTTGCTGTTGAGCAGACCCAGGGGTGGACAATTATGAGTCATTCTGTTTGCTCCTATAAAGTCCCTGAAGAAGTGCATCTCAGCCACTCATTATAAAATCAACTAACAATATGGCCTTTTGTTACATTTTCCTCTTTGGTTCTTTCACCTTCTATGGTCTCATATTTGCTTCATGGGATCTTGTGCTAAATAAACCATTTCCATCTTTGAGTTTTAGTTCTGCAGCCAAATATTTGATTTTAGTTCTGCAGCCAAGTATTTGATTTTAGTTTTGCTTTAGGATCTAGATTTAGACTGAGTATCAAAACGTTTGCTCAGTCTTGCTCAGGTGTGTTGCTCGTAGCTTCATTGGACTTCTGTCTGGGGCTGGGAATTTAGCTCAGTGGTTCTGGCACCTGCCTTGCAAGCACAAGGACCGAGTTCAATCTCCAGTACTAAAAAAACCAAGCAAATGAACTTCTGCCTGAAGAAGCATCATGAGTTTCCCTCATCATAAAGTTATACACATCATAAAGCTGGTTAGTTCCATCTTAGATTGTTGTGATTCTCTGTGCAGATGTTTGGAGACGAGCTTTAAGGATACCACAGTTGTGGGGGACAGGGATTCTGGTAATTAGGTAAAACCAGTGAAGACTAAAGCATCTATCTTTAGTTTTCTCTTGACGGAAAACCTACAAGCCTCAAATTCTAGATCTTGGTAAATATCTGTCTAAGTATTCAGCTCACCTTATTTATCATATTGTGTCATTCCCATTTCTAGTGTACATATTAACAATTACTTTGTTTTCCTTTGTTTGTAGAAATGCATGTCCTTCAGTCTCAGGTAACTTTCACTATTATTGAGATAACTGTAACATACAAGTGATGCTCATAAAAGAAATTGTTACTCCTGGCAGAGAACAACCAACAGATATTTGCTCAAATCAAATGATTTCTACATTCCCCAAACCTAGATACCGAACCCCATTGATCTTGATATAAAGTTATGGCCAAGAAATAAAAATGTGTACAACATATTTAATTGCTAAATCATATAATTTTATTAGGTACAATTTTAATTTTCAATTATTTGGATGAAAATTAAACAGGAAAATGAAAGAATAAAAAGAAGAAAGAATAAAAAGATAGTAAAAGTAGTAGGAAGGAAAACAGAGGCAGTATTGAGTATATTGACCACAATACTCAGAAACACAGGCATTTAACAAGTGAATCCATAGAAGCCAGAGCCACAGGTTGGTCTGTAATGAAGAGACCGGAAGGTTCTAGAAGTCAAGAAAGATGGGCAGCAGAATCCAGATCCATAACCAAGGGAGGAGAAGCCACGAACTCCATAACCCAGGGGTCTGAAGCCACCGGAGCCACAGCCCAGTGAGTAGCAGCTCCTTGAGCCGTAGCCCAGGGAGCGGCAGCTGCGGGACCCAAAGCCCAGAGATCCAGAGTAAGTGGTCAGGCAGGGACTGCAGAGCGTGGACACCCTGGGGCGGTAGCAGGACATCTGGCAGGGCCTGGACACCACACAGGACCTCTGGCAGATGGTGGGTTCACAGCAGGTCTCCTGACAGCCACTGGAGAGAGAGGAGCCCAGCTGGTAGGTGGTGGGAGACTGGAGATGAGTGGTGTAGACCAGGTTGCTGGGGTAGGAAGAGCCACAGGAGGAG